TTAACCTGCATTATCTGGGGACAGACAGGTCGAGTGCGGCATCAAAGACGATTATCAACCGGTCGGGTTGATTACGCAAACTTGTGTGCACGGCTCCCACATTGATGTTGGAAGCATGGGGAGAGAGGGGCTTCAACACGATGTGGTTGCACACAAAGTGGCATAGCGCCACGGTAGTAATCGAATAATCATCACCATGCCCAGCTGTTGTTAACGTTGTGGCAATCTGATTGTAACAACTGGTCCGCGTTAAAAGAGGTCGTAGACATCTGCATTCCAGATCAGCAATATTCATTTCGGATGATGACTGAATTCCAGTATATTCTGAAGCGAACAATGTACAGTCAAATCTCTGGCAGAATACAACTGACTCCGACCGACCGCTCACTCATTTTCTGTCTATTTGGTTATCAAACTACCAAAATGCGGGCGGATAATGAACAATTTTGTTTCAGGTAATTGATGTAGGTGGTGGGAGGGAGATAAACTGAACCGGTAATTAACCCGTATTTCTGCATTTACCCACCATGTATGACCGTTTCTAAATTAACCTTCGAAAAGCTTTAAGACCAAAAAGATATTATGAAATTGACTATTCACTATCTGTGAGACTGATCGGATGTTTGAACTAGAATTTTGTTGTTTTTGACCGAATGATAACAATACACTGTAAATCTTTTCACAAACCTTGCATTCCGATTGAGGGTAGAAAACCGTTAAACTTGAATCTTGACCTCGGGCGCAGAGAAGGCGGACAAATTGTGAACTTGCAAACAAAGCAGCTTTTTTCCTTTGAGAATTGGAACTCTTCCAAGAAAAAAAGCACTTGTAGGTTCGTTTATACTGAAATAAATTTGTTTTCTAAATAATATTAAAAAAGCCTTGGTAAGTCTTTATAGCATTGTTTTTGCTGATTTTGTTTATACTCAGCAGATGGAATGGTTCAGAATGTAGCAGATACTCCGATTTCGTCAGTAGTGGTTGACCTAAACCATGATGAATTAAGAGCTTACTAAAGGGAATAAAATAAATTTTATTTTCAAGAAGTTAACATCGATAACAATTATGATGTAAAGTTCGTGTACGCTATTAGCCGATCAGTCTATCTTTGTTCTTTAGGACATTTCCGAGTCTCTTCGACATCGAATCCACCAACTTTGTTATGAAGTCATTTTCTATTTTCTGCTCCATTACGACAACAATTTTCTGCAACGTTTTTTCAGGGAAATAGGAATTAAGTCGTACATTTGTTTGGAAGTACTCGATTTATGGCCTCCACGAGCTGTTCTGGTATTTGTTTTTCCATGGATTATCCTTTAAATCGTGCTTTTGTTACCGCTAAAGCATTGGGCAAGATGTGGTATGGAGAATTCCAGCTTGTGTGCCAGTACAATTCTATTTCTGTCCTCTTTACTGGGATAACGAGAACTTTTGGTTCCGCGAGCTGCTTGTTTCATTATGGCGACAACAATACGAACATTCAAAGCTGTGCACAAAAATGACTTTGATTTCAAGGTCGAGTTTGATGAAAATGATATTTCTCGAATTCAGTGAGGTAGCTAACAAACAAAAATTATTATTATGAAATCTTATTTAGTGCAGTTTCTCCGGGTTGCAAAGGAATTTCATTTTGTTATTGAATGGAGTTGCCATAATGGATTATATATTAGATAAAATAATGCCTCATGACAAATAGCCTAGACGGTTTATGGAAATAATTCGGGATAATTCTTGAGTCACTCCTATTAGAATATATTGGGTTTTCATACTTGGTAAAGTTTGCGATTTTCATGTTGGGATTATTTGATCTTGGCAACCAAGGTCAGGCACGTTTAATTGACAGTCATGCCGCCTAGAAACTACGTAGATCGAAGTGGACAAGCGATAAATTATTGTCCGTACCTAAAGCAATAATGCAGGTACTAAATATAATAAAACTCAGTTTGATCAGAAAGAAAATATGTCACTAATGGCTACAGAACATGGCTACATTTTGCTGGCTGTAAAACGGGTTAGTCTAGTGAATATTTGAACCCGAATTCGCGGTAAATGTGAGCCTGATCCGAGGAAGTGATTATCAGATAAATAGTATCAGTGAATAATGAGAACACAAATTGGTGAACAAGCTCGTTTTCACTGTGTCCTGATCATTACAACACAGCATACGACTATAATAACATATGGGAAATTAATTAAAGTACTCAACAGTTTGTATCATAATTGGTCCCCAATTATTATTTACTCTGATGTTTCATGATGGGTCACTTGTCGGCAATCCGGCCGTGGAATCTTGAGTGCTTGCCCAAATTGTTTTTGAGCACATACAGAGGACGGTTGTGAAGACGGATACTAACCGCCTCCGCTGGGGATAGAATGCGAAACTGTACGTGTCTAGACCATCCCTTTTTAATTCCATACGAGCATCAGAACGCCTTGGTCACATTTACGATGTGAGTGGTGTCGACAAAGTTTGACAAGACCACACTTGTGATTGAATTCACTTCGCACTCATTGGTGGTGATACACATGCATGCACCCGGACGGAGACCCGGTCCTGTGGCCGACGTACGTCGCTCCACAGGAGCAGATTCCATTAAGCGCTCTGAGTATCCGTTCTAACTGAAGATATTCCTTGACAGTATAAGAAGTTATCGACACTCTAGAACAGATTTTATCCAAAATCACAGAAACTAGCACCAACCAAGCACGGTTAACAATATGTAATATTCTCGAGAACACAACTGATTGATCCTAAAGTCACACCACAAGAAAAAATCACTGGCTACCTTAAAACGAGATTCTCCAAATCACATCACAAAAGCCGACAAGGGGAACGTTATGGTCATCCTGGACAAGGCTCAGTACGAATCAAACGTCTTGGTTGTATACTCTTTTAGACGCGTAAGTGGAGCATCTTATGTTAATCAAACAGCACGACGGCTATCTACCCGGATCAAAGAGCTGGTTAAGACTAAGACAGACCAGAACAATAAACAGCTCCATCCTAGCCCATTTAGTCGACACCGGACATGAAGTAAATCCGGATGTCGCCTTCAGAGTTGTTT